ACCATTCTCCAGCAGGACCAAAATACAGGTCTGGATATGTTTATATGGAACATTCTAATTGTACAAAGCTACAGGCAGGGGATTTGTAGGGAAACCTTTTCTTCTGGTTTTTGAAAAGAGAATATGGGGATACCATTCAGTGGCTTAAAGCTTAATAGTAGAGTGCATGCTTAGAATTCAGGAGACCTTGGGCTTGATTCTCAGAGTAAGTACACACACACACACACACACAGAGAGAGAGAGAGAGAGAGAGAGAGAGAGAGAGAGAGAGAGAGACTGGGGAGTACCTAGTTTTGTAGAACAAAAACATGCAGTAAAATTTCCGATATGTGTTTCATACCTCTCCTATGGCAGTATAGCCTGCAGTTGAGTGAACTCTCAGAAATAGGTCGGGATCAGTCTCCTCCCACCCCCAGTCCCTGGGTTGGACCAGGGAGACAAAAGGGTACAATGGTGGTTCTTTATCCATGTGCAGTACTTCAGGAAACCAGTAGGTGGGAGTCAGGGACAAAAGCTAGACTAAAGGCTGAGGACTAGGGAGCCTTAGATCATAGGTTTTTATATGAGAAAATAGTCTGGATTTTTAGTTTTCCTTCTCCCTGTGAGGCTGCTGAGCAGTGCATCTGTGTCGGCCGAAAGCAAGTGTCTTTTTCTCATTTTCCTTGGAAACCAGTAGACAAACAGCTGGCAGGGAAGGCTCCATTGTGGGGCTGGGGAAGGAGAGACAGGCTGCCTAGACCTGCTCCCAGGAGCATAGATTTGACCTTTCCCTTGTTAGTAGCAAGAAAACCTCTCCAGCCTCCTTGACCCTTGCTCCTTTTGCTGGGGCACAGGAGCATGGCTCTCCACATTCCAGTAGTCATTTCCTGGGCCACGTGGTGTCTGTCAGTCCTGCCCTAGAAACCCTTGGGGGATTATGAACACAATTTTCCTGGCACAATAACTGACATTTGAGGGACTCTCAGTTACTGAAGATTTAACAGTTTTACTTTTTTCTCCCTGGGTTTTTATTGTTCCCCCTCCTCCCTAAGCAAGTAAATTCTAGCAATTTGGATCTTTTCACGACCTGACCAAAAGAGACCATTTCAGCCCCCAGGAACCAGTGTTTATAAATGGCCAAGAATGTACAAACACTGGCGAAAGTGCAAATAAATCTTGCCCTCTGAATTTCCTGCTTCAGTCCCAGGGGAAATGGTAGAGGATGTTGCCAGGTTAGCATGACCTGAGGTCTAAGCATGTAGACATCCACTTACCCTCAACCCGCAAAGAGGGCCTGTCAGATACACTGCTCAGAGCCTTCTGCCCCCTCAGCACTGCTGTGGCTGGCAGGCCAGCCACAGGAATTCATTCTCCTAGTCCTAAGTTCTTTGAGGAACTTGGAAGTGGGTTTCTTATTTTATCCTACTCCAGGTGTGGTCCTAGGATCAACCATGTGAATCTCTCCCTGGAAGCTTGTGAACAGTGTGCAGTTAAATTCAGGCTCCATTTCTACCCTGCTGGTTAGAGTTGGCATTTTCAGTGCAAGTCTTTCCAACCAAGATGTAGAGGCTTCATAGTCCTAACCCAGAGGTTTGTGAACTCTGGCCTATATTTGGTCTTTTGCCTGTTTGTTGTCTCCTTGGATCAGCTAAAAATGAATTTTACTTTTTAATAATTGAGAGAACCATCACAAGAATATTTTATGATGTGGAAATGATTTAAAAAGTCAAATTTCTATATCCATAAATAAGGTTTTACCAAAACTCAGCCACACTTACTGGTTTAGCATCTGCTGTGACCACTTTCATGGTAAAAATAGCAGTCAAGATTGGTGAAGACTGCATGGCCCACTGGGCTTCAAATATTTAGCATTTGTCTCTTGTCCTGACCCATTGTGGAGGTGGGTTCTCAAAACTTGTGCATTTTGGAGACATGAGTGGGATGGTAGTGGGGCCAGGATGCAAGCCTATAGTCAGGACTTCCTCCCCTGAGCTCATCCCTTTCCTTACCCTCTTGTCACAGCATAGGGTCACTGTTTGCTTGGGTACAGCCTGTGTCTGACTGATGGGCAGGTTGGGGGTGTTCTTCCAGCTGTTATCATGGCCCAGAGCTGAGCCCTGTCCAGGATGCAGATGGTGGGTTGGTGCATAGTTCTTCCCCATAACATGCTACTAGCTCGTGGTAGCTGGGAGTAGCCAGTACTGTTTGTCGGGATGTATTAATGGACTTAGCTGATACACTGAAGTCTGTGAACCACCCAGAAGGCACCTTGACCAGGACAGTCTCTGGGATGGGTATGCTACAGCTGGGTTTCACCTGTAGTACTCTGAGGGGGCTCTGGTGAGTTCCTGGAGGTTTCTGGAGTTACAGATGCCAAAAGTTTGTGTGTTTGTGCATCTCACTCATCCCCATTCCTGTCCTCCTGGCCAGCCTAATGTACATGCCCTGTTGCAAATCCTTTGGATTTGGGGGTTGAAGTGAAATAAGTGCAATGAAGTAGAACATACTTTGGTATTTTTAACAAAGCAGGTAAAGCAAGAGCTGCTGCTTGAGGACATATAAAAGTGGAAAGAACTTAGCTGAGCTCCTCTGCTTTTCCCCCTCTCCATTCCTCTCCACTCTCACCTTAGTCCATCACTCATAAGTTGAGTTAATAGAGGATATTGGCCCTGGTTTTGTCTCTTTTTTACAAACAAGCCATTAAGCCATTGTTTTAAGTAGAATATTAGTCTTTGTTTGCCTCATTCTTTCATTCTGAGGATGCTTAATTTCTTCTGTGTAACAAGAATTGTACTGGTATGAAAGGTAAAAGAAATGAGTTAGAAATAAGATGCACTTCCCACAATCCTGTGCAGTGGAGCCTTGTCCACCATCAGCTGTATTGTGCTGTGGGCTGGATATCCCTAGGGTCTGGGGAGGAAAGCTCTGGCCAGCAATGGAGGGCTTGGAATGTACCAGGAAGGTGCTGAGGAGGAGTTGTCTGGGGATGCTTTCCACCCTGATGCGTCTGTGCCACCTCTCCTGGTGGTTAGGTCTGTAGGCTGATGAGAAGTAGCTTCATACCACTTCATTCCTGACTCTTCTCCTAGCAGAAGTAAAAGCAGGCACTGAGATCCTTTGTGGAAAGCTTGATTTCCCTTATCACCAGGGAGTGGGACTCTGCCTCCAGCCTCTGCACACCTTTATTACATACTGTGAAAGAATTCTTTATCTACTCAGGCAAGAAGTACATACATTTCATTTGTCTTGGTACAAAACAAGTGTTTGCTTACCTAATGAGTTTCTTCGTTTGACTTTCCCAGGTTCCTAGACGATAATTTTGTTGTTGAAAAAGACCTCCCTACCCCTACACTTTTCTCACATTGTACTGAGGTCTGGGCATTGGTTAGGAATGGAGGGTCCTAGACCATACTGGAACTAGGCCAGGGTGAGGGGAGGGACCCAGAGCTCATAGCAGGGCAGTGAGCCTGCTTTTTCCTTCTGGCCTCTGATCTGGGTGTGTCTGCAGGAATTTACTCCTCCCTTCGTGCCAGCTGCCTGCTAGAGCCCTCCTCCCCAGCCTCTGATCTGTGACTATGTTGCTAGCCTTATTTGTGCCCTGTTTTTCTGGCTGTGCTTGTGGGCTGTGGTAAACATTGATGCCATGTTGAGGGGGTTCTTGACACCCCATGGAGTCTTCTCTTCATGCTGGGATTTCCAGGAAAGACACAGGAAGGACTAGCAGTCACATGACATGCTTCTGCAAGTCATTCCCCACACAGCTGAGTGCAGAGGCTTTGCATGTAACCACTGTTCCCACTGCACCCACATCAAAGATCACTTTCATAATCAGTCGTAGCCAAAGGCCACACATTAAGGCTCGGGCAAGGGAGAAAAGCTGTTTTAGGGGGAGCTCTCAAAGGAGATGTCAAAATATGAGGAGAAGAGGGGTGGTGGCATCTGGGGAGTGTTAGTGGGGTACCCTGGAAAGGCAGCATGTGACCTACCATTAGGAAAGCATAGAGCTTCCCCTCTCCTCCAAGCTTACCAGGGCTCCTTCTTACCTGGAGCCACTCCCCATGTCTCCCTGCTTTGTAAAGTAGTCCTCCAGAGGCAAGGAAGTAGTCCTGAGCCTGGACAGAAGCAGTAATCCCCTGGTATGGTATGTGGCCTCCAGGGAACCCAAATGGTGGTGGCTCACAGCCCAGAGCAGCACTCCCTGAGGGAGCCAGTAGTAAAGGTCTCAAGGTTGTAGCAGTTGATCTCTGGTGGATAGTGCTAGCCGTGCCAAGGACAACAGACAGCCTACCTAGGCCTGGCATACCTCTGAGCCCAGAACTGGGACAGGAGCTGGTTCTAAATCTGTCCTTTTTGGAAGCCTGTGGCCCATCTGTGAGAGGGGTAGGTGTGGGCTTCAGGGTGTGTGTGTGTGTGTGTGTGTGTGTGTGTGTGTGTGTGTTTGCGTGTGTCTGTGTCTGTGTGTGGGAACCAGAAAACTCCTCTGGGAGTAGTGCTTATTTTTAGTTGTCTCCCTAGTCCCAAATAAACTGAGAGCAGCTGGGAGCCTGTGGGTAAATGCAGAGGGAAGCAGAGACAGGAAATCGGGGGCTCTCGGTAATGAGTTCCAGCCACACCAGAAAGGAGAAGCCAGACAAGGCATTTTCTTCCGGACTGTTTCCCTCTGGCAGGCTCTGGTATTATCACTGAGAAGGTTCCCATTGCCCACGTGTGAGTGAGTGTATGCGTTCAAGTGTACGTGTGTTTACAACTCCAGCCTCCCCTTTTGATGAGGTTTGATTGCTCTGAAGGACTCTGAAGTCAGTCTTGGTCTCTCTCTCTGTGTGTCCATGTGTCTGTGTGCCTGCCTGCCCGCCTGCCTGCCTGCCTCTTGTGGGGGCGGTGGGGGAGGACCCTGGAGCAGCACCGTCAAGTCTGAGTCTTGTGTATCTGAGCCTGTTAGGGAAAGAAAGGCTATAGGACACAGGCCAGGGAAGTAGGGAAACTGGAACACAGCTTGCTGTTCCTGCGGGGGTGGGGGCAGAGGCAGGGAGGAGGAGAGGGCTTGAGCTCCAGCCAGAATAAAGGGCTTTTTCTCAACTAAGGACTCTAACTGCTGACATGGGTCCCCAGCATGGATGGGGACATTGATGTTTACAAGCATTTCTCGTGGCTGAAGAGGGTAAGTGACTGGCTGCTTTGTCTGGGTCTCTCTGGAGATGAGTAAGGAGAGAGACACTTTGGGGGTGTTTGGCTGTGTGTGTGTGTGTGTGTGTGTGTGTGTGTGTGTGATGGGGGGGAGGCAGTTGTCCAGAGAACCCTTTTGTGGCCAAGTTCTTCATGAGACTCTAATTATAGACACTAAGGGAGAAAACAGGCAGCTGCCTTTGTTTCTGCCCTGACAGCCTAGTGAATGAACCTCTGTACTGAAAGGCAAGAATAGAGTGAGGAAAGTTAAGTTATTTTAATGTTGGCTCTTCAGCATCTGGGATCTCTATACACTGTGGCCTAAAAATTATGCCTACTGTTTTTGGGTCTTAAGACACATAGAGGAAGCTGCTACTGTCTTAAATGCCTGAATTCGGAAGTCATTTAACTCATTCTCATCCTTGATGCTATCTGGAGTAGAGGGTATATCTGTTGCCAGCCCAGTGAGCTTCTGTGTTTCTGGAGGAAGGCTCCAGGGTAGTTCTCTTTGAAGTGTACTGAAGCCCAGGATTTCATTTGCAAGTTGTTTGTGCCATTTCTGTAGGCATTTGTGTAGAGTGCGAATCAGCAGTGAATGAACCTTGGGGGCCAGATGACATTGTGCTCAGAACTCTGGTGTTCTCTTGTAAGGTGGGCTCACATTCATTTTATAGTGGGGAATTCTAGGCTGAATATGTTTGAGAGGGAGGAAGGTCAAAAGCACCTGACAGATAAGAGGTTTGACATTGTAACTGCAGAAGGACGGGAAGTGTCCTGCTTGGAAGGGACACACAGAACTTCACTGTCCTGCTTCCAAGCACTGGGCTGGCTGGCTTTTTGTGTGCCCTCTGCAGCTGCAGTGCTTCCTTAGCAAACACTCAGCTCCTGGTACTGTGTGGACAGCAGTGAGCAAAGCTGAACCAACCTTAGAGGGGAAAGGAGGCCAAACAGTCCCAGGAAATAGACATCAGACTACAAGCACACAGTAAGAAAGGCTCAGGAGGGCTGTTGATGATTGCAGAAGAGGGTCAGGAGCCCTCTTTGAGGACATAGCACTTTACAGAAACATGAAGCGAGTTGTGTGGAATATAGGGTGAGAAATACTCCAGGCCAAAGCAAAGGTGGGTGGTGCATGTGCAAAGGTCTTGAGGCAGGAGAGGCTGGCTGGTTTCAAGACAGAGAAAGCCATTGTTGCTGGACTCAGTAATGGTGGATAGAGACAAGTGGATGCCAGATCACACAGAACAGTGAAGGCCATGTAGGAGCAGTAGGTAACAGTGGTCTGTAATGATCAGGTTTGTAGTGAGGAAGCAACATGGGATGTAGCATGGGAACCAATTTATATTTAAGAAGATCCCTCTAACTGTGATGTGGTATGCGGTAAGCAGTGTTGGGAAAGTGAGGCATCTGAGACATGATTAGAGAGTTGGATGGGCGATAGGAGGAGCCAGCTAGTACCAGATTTCATTTAGCAAAACCCAAGAGAGGCCGAGGCCATTGCGAATGCTGGTTAGTTAGTGGTCCAGCAGCTTGGTCTTGAACCATTTTCTCTGTCTCTTGGTCCTGTTCCTTTCTCAGTTCTGCCAAATATGCAGAAAATGATTGGTTCAGAATGCAACAGAAATTCTGTCTGTATTCAACCCTTGCTTTGCAGGGAGTAGGGCATCTCAGCCACCAGAGAGCATGCTGAACAACAGGACCTTTTGGCAAAGATCTGTGCCATACTAAGCTATGCTAGGGAGATCCTGGAGTGTGCAGGGAAAGAGCATACTTAGTCTTTGTGTCCTGATTTCCAAAATGAAGCTTTTAACTGAGAGGGTCTGCAAGTCACCATGTGCCTGGGATAGGAACCGTACCTGTACCCCACACAGGTGCTGTGACTGGTCCTTTGACAGAGGTTCTTTCCTTAGGAAGCAATTCTGGCCAAGTGAGAATGTTCTGTCTCTCCCAAGATGCAGGATGGACTCTTCAAGCCAGACAACAACTTCAGAACCTCCACAGAACCCATAGCAAATATATTTTCTCCACTTTTAGGATTTTAAGAGTCATTAACAACAATAAATCTAACATCAAGTATTGGATGTATCCTAGCTAAAATATATTCTTTGGTGGTAGGATCTCTTCTTTACCCCAGATCCTCCTGCTCCTTCTGTATGTGAGCCTCTCGGACTCATCTTCAGCTTCTTCAGACTTTGGTTCCAACCTGTACCTTTTGCATTTCATTCTTTAGTAACCCCCAAGTATATATTTCCTGTTATTTTTATTTTTTAAGCTTTATCTCAGTTGTCCCTTTCTCTAATTCCCACCTTTATCTGATTCCATTAGGTCCATTGTTTGCAACCATTCCTTTGCTAACCTAGTCCCTTAAGGGCCCTCCAGTCCAGGTGTCCATCACTTCCCACCTATCTTCGTATGTGCTTACACAGAATACAGCTTTCGCTAAACATGCTTTTGGAGGTAGAGGCACTGTCTCTTTCATTCTTCTGCTTAGAAGAGGTAGGTTCTAGAAAAAGAGATTCCTGTATGAATTGTGAGCCTAGTGCACATGGTAGGAGCCTTGCCCTATGAGAAGAGGGTAATGTCTTGTAAGTGTCAACTATTACCAATCCCTCATTTACCACGCCCAAGAGAAGTCAGAACAAAGAGGGGCTTTGTGTTGACAGAGGAGCAAGCTGGGAGAAAAGTATTTACATGGAAAATAAGCATCACTTTGGAGCCTGTGAGCACTGTTACAGCTATAGGCATACAGTTGGGGTGAGGTCTGGGTTTGAATCCTGGCTTTGCCACATGTACCAGGTATATGATCTGAGGTCGATTTAGTCAAGGGCCAGAACCTGTTTTTACCTATCAAATAAGGAAGCTTATTCTAGAGTTTTCTACACTGATTTTTAAGGATCAAGTAAGGTTGATGCTTATGGAATGCTTAGCACAGTGCTGATTGTGTATAGCAAACATTCAGCAGCATGCTTCCTGTTAACTGCTCATGCTACTAGTAGGAAAGAGAAACTGAAAAAAGGACCCAGTGAGAAGGGACTGGCTCTTCTTAGAAGTACCTGCTAGGCCACTGACTCCTGAAGCTCTAGACTTCTTCTCATGTTGTAGATCAAGGTTTCAAACCAAGCAAAATGAAGACGTAGAAGAGGTGACTGCAGCCTAGCTTAGTGCATGCAACCGGAGGCCCACTGACTGCTACCTCTGCTCAGCCTGTCTCTAGTTGCCAAGTGAGTAGAAACTGCTGGGAGCTAACCCTCCAGTTCGTTCTTTCAACAGATAAAACCTAAGCACTAAGTAACTCCTGCTACAAGTACCCAGAGGCCCTCATCCTCCCAGCTGTCTGGTTCCTGACTCACCAACATTTCCTACATATTCTGTCCAGAGATCAGTAGACCAACCCACATAAGCATGAACGAGTCTCTGAAGATTGCCCCTAGCAGTGTCTGTGGGACCAGCCCACTTCCCCCTGAGCAGGAGTTCATTTTCCCAGGAAGAGAACTTTCAACAATGGTGGTTCTGAAAAGGTACTCAAACAGCAGTACCTTCACAATGCTGCTTGACTTCAGCACTTAGACTGTATAAGAGAATTTCCTCCCTACAGCCAGTCACAAAACAGAGCCACCTGAGTGTGCCATGCACTTTACCATAGTTCCATTGTAAAATGTGAATACATCTACGCTACAAACATAAAACCTTATTCTGTGCCATTGTAAACTCAAATGGTTGATCCAGTATTCTGGCCACTTGGGGCAGAGACCTGTAAAGACAGATAGACACAGGTATCTGACTCCCCTTTTATTCATTTAGATTGTAGTGGTCATTAGAGAAGCAGCTAGCAGCTAACTGTGATAGGCCACTTCTACTGGTTACCAGCACAGACCCTCTTCATATCTCACCATTTGAGCACACTGGACAACGTGTATACTTGCCTGAAACTCCACTTCCCTGACTGTGACATAGAGATAAGTAATTCAGTACATGTAAAGCACTTAGAACACACGTCGTAAGGGTTAGCTGTGGGATGATCAGCATCAGTTGACAACCTCTGGTTACTGCAGAGTCACATGCCCACACCTTGACTCTAAGTAGGTTTCCCAGCCTGGGCAGTGGGCAGTAATATGCAGTTTCTCAAGGACTTTTGCTGTTCATAGTTTTCTCCAGGGACCTTCAGTTTGTAGCTAACACACCCAATATGTCTGCCTACTGAGCTCCTGGTATAGTTTAGGAGCTAGAATTTGATCATCTCTGACCCCTTGTACCTATGACTTCTGTCTCCTTGACAAGGGACAACTGATCCCTTTACCTCGTAGACTCTTGTGATGTGGCATCTAGTGCGTCCCTCAGAACAGCATAGGCACTGGTAGTTTGATGGGCTGGCAACAGTTCCTAGGCATCCATGACTCTGCGCTCCTATCCCATCCTCTGTGGCAGCTCCTCTGTGTTTTTCCCTTTGCCCCATCTTTGTACTCTGTTCGCCACTGATGTCATTACTGAGTTCATGGAGACACAGTGAGGGGCAAGTTTACATGAATTTTTCATCTTCCCCTTTACGAAGTGTAACCACGCTAACAACTATTACTTCTGAACTTCCTTCTCTTTCATGCAGCTGGGGTTTTCTCTCTCAGAGGCTGTTCCAGTGTCTTTTTGGCCTCATCCTGCTCCAACTCTTCCTAGTCTTCTCTCAATGGCTCCCTGTCTACTCCATTGCTCTTGGGGGAAAAGGTTTCTTTTTAGTTCTCGGGGGAAAAAAAAATAAATCAAAACTATCTTTGTCTCTGTACTTGCGTCTTTGTGCTGCCTTCTAACTCACCTACCTAACTCACCTTTATCAGGGTTCGTGGAGGAGTTAAAAACCTACTGTCTCTACTCCTCCTTTCCTGCAATTCCCAAGCACACTTTCTTTGTCCCTATGGTCCCCTTTAGAATTCCTGCAATGCCCTTGCTATATATGTACTTCCTAAGCAACCCTCCTAACCGTTTCCTTTTTTTTTTTTTGTTTTT